AAAAACCCCAACGACAACCTCAACAGCCCCGCAGGTACCCCCTGGCTTGACCCTTTGGCAGGGAGCGCGGGCGGCTGAACCTCTGCCTCCCAGAGCAGTAAGGCAGCTCCCGGGGCTGACATCTCGTTGCTGGGGGGCTGAGGCATGTGCCCCATTTCTGCCCACCTCATCCACCTCCCTGCTGTCAGCTGAGAGCCGGTCAGTGGGTCTCTAGGCGGGCACAGGAGATGCTCCCCCATACCCATCATGCTGCTCTGGTGCTTTTGGGATGGGTTTATGTTGTGCTGTGTGCCCTGCGGTATCAGAACAAAAGGCAGCTGTTGGTGCAGCTGCTATTGCAGAGCACTGAGTGATGCTCACCCTATCCCATGTGGGGGGGAGACCCAAGAGTAGAAATCCTGTGCATGCAGCATGACCAAAACCCCAAAAAACACAAATAATTTTGTCTTGTTTGTCCAAGGAGGCTGGCGTTTTGATCCAAGAGATGCAAAAAAAAAGGTTAAAAGAGTAAATCATCTATCGTAAGCAGACTTGCATAAGGCAAGCACATAGGGGAGCCACAAGAGGTGTATGCACCTATGCCTAACCTTCTTCTTCACTGCAGGACTCGAAGAACCTCGGTTTGTAGAGTTTAACGGAGGATTTAGCCAAGCCCAGCTGGACTGGTTCAATGAAGTCCTCAAGTTCTCTGATGAACACCAAGAAAAAGTTGTAGTTATGGGTAGGTGGATGTGGGGGATATATGGGGATATATGCAAAAAAAGTTATGTAGCCAATGTATGTTAGCTGAGGAAAACACGTAGCAGCTTTGTAGCTCCACTGAGGTACACATGTAACCTGTGAAGTAGAAGAGCAACCAAGTCTCACACTCGGGTGAGCTTTCTGTATACACTTAGATGTCTGAACTTCCCAGCAATGAAGGCAGAGTTTGGTTACACTTAAAGTAGCTCTCCTGCTTCTTTCCCTCTCAACTGCAGGTCATCTGCCCATTCATCCAGATGCTTCAGACAGAGTTTGCCTAGCCTGGAATTACGAAGATGCCCTTTCAGTCATACATTCCCATCAGTGCGTGGTCTGCTTTCTTGCAGGGCACCTGCACGATGGTGGCTATTGTTTAGATTCTCACGGAGTTCATCATCTGACTTTGGAGGGGGTTATTGAAACTCCACCAGAAAGCAATGCCTTTGGAACTATTTATGTTTATGAAGATAAAATGATACTAAAGGGAAGGGGCAGAATTTCAGAGAGAGTTATGCATTTCTGAAAATGGTAAGCAAATACAAATTCCTCTTCTTCAGGAAGTACTCGAACAAAAAAAATAGGGCATTCAGCTTATTATTTGCTTGTAGAAAGATGTGCATGGCTGATCCTTATAGCTTTAACTCAAACATTTTTCTCTTGGATACAGAATTTTAGAAATTATGTTTCTGTAAAAAAAACAGACCTAGTTTCTTCGTGGAGAATAGAGAAGGCCAGTAACCATGTTTGAAATAAATATATTTATACTTGAATGCAGAATGTTGACTTGAAACACCCAATCCTGACCGGATTGTTACTTACTGTGAAAAAATGCAAACCATATTATGAATATTGTCAAAAAAAAGCCACTTTTTTGTACCAATCAGAATTAAAGCATGCAGAATTATACCTGCCCAGCCACATTTCAATTTTTTTTTTTTCTTTTAACATCATAGTCAGTAATGTCTCATATCAGGCAGAATTAGTCCACCCTGGAGCCTAATGCAGTCTTCTTAACATTGCTTTAAAAGACTAAAGTAATCTTTAAAAAAAGCTAAGCCCAAGGAAAATGGAGACCATCTACGCTACATCATGTAATGCTGCAGATACACCTGCTGGGATCTACGTGTGCACAGCTGTATTAGCCTGCAGCAGTACTGAGTGAAGAAGCCCTGATGTGGAAGGATCTAAAGCATGTTGCTGTGCTGCATCTGGACCTGTTCTGGCTCTCTCCCAGCCAGCTTGTGTGTCCAGTGTATTCACCTGTGCTTCCTTCTGCAGGATTAGTAGCGGTGGATCGTGCTTACTGTTGCTGGGCTGCTGTGTGGGTTCTGCTTTCCAGGAACAGAAATTCTGTGAGAAGCAGAGTTGTAATAGTGACCACGTCTGCTGGTGGCAGTCTTGAGTACACATCTCGCAGAAAATAAAAGATATGGAAGCTTTCATTGAATTTTCTTTAGAAAAATAGTATTTATTACTCTGCAAAACCAGTAATTTTCAGTTAAAGGTAATAGGAAAAATATTTCTTCAGATATATTCTACGTATGATTTTAGTGTAGGAACAGAAATACAGACTGCTCCATTTTTCAATTAGTCTCAGTGGACTATCCAGGCAGATATCTGGAAGTTTTATGGCTGCAAATAGTCATTTATTGAAACAAACAACTCTCCAACAATGGTTGTGATCCAGGGATGCCAGGATGTCTTGAATATACCATTATAACACACATTAGATCAACAGTACTTTGAAAATGTGTGAAGAAGCCAGCTGAACAACAGTTTCCATAGAAAAATTCTCCACTCAGATTTGACAGTGTTCCTCAATTTTTTTAACAAATCTCAAACCGCACTGCTGGAAGCAGCCAGGCATTCTTGGGTCCTATCGAACTGATACCAACCTTTCATAAAGAACCAAAAGCAAAGGGAAGTAAGGTCAGAATATTTATTTTATACTTTCTCCCACCCAATTAAATCACTGTTTTACAGTGCGTTGGCCAAGATGCTCGCATCTCTTTGTTCACATAAATGTACAGCCACGAAACAAAGGGGAAGAGGGCGACCACGATTGCAGCGATCAAGCGAACTCCACCCAGTGGACTCCTATAAAGAAGCAAATGCAACAGAGCTACTTCAAATCAGACTACTACGAAACATTCACACCTGGCTGCAGTTGGAAAAACAGCAGAGAGCCTTTGGCCACCTTAATGTAGCTGCTGTGGATGCATCAGCAGAGTCCTTTACTGGAGAGGCACTACATGCCAGCAGAAAAAGTTTTTCTGCCATCTCAGGCTACATAAACCAGGTGAAAAAAAAAAGCACCCTGCTTGCCCAGAGCATCTGTGACACGTTTTCCCAGCACAAAGGTACTGTTTGGCAGATTGGGATTTTTCATGCTCCTAGCTAACAGGAATTTAGCAAAACTGCTGCAGCACAGTCCTCTGAAGAGGCTGGAGGGGAAAAGTGTGGAGCCACTGCAGCCAGGCAGCCACCCAGAGCCTTCTGCCAGCTCTGCCTGCATCACCCGCCTGCTCCGGTGGACGCAGCGGACACCAGTACAGAGACCCTCACTGGAAAGTTCTGTAAATTGGGAGCAATGGCAGAAACGGCTTTGCAGTTCATTAGCATTATGTCGTGGCTAACACTCACTAGCCTGATCCACAGAAGGGGTGCGCTGTCCTTGCGCAAAGGGAGAATGTCCCCTGCCCATTATGGCAGGAGGAGCAGAGGGAGAATGTCCCCTGCCCATTATGGCAGGGGGAGCAGAAAAAATGTTTCCTGTAGCTTTACTTTCGCCCCACAGACTTTTATCTGTGCAAGATCCTACAGGCTGTAGCACCAGCTACTACTTGCTTAGGTGTCTGAGAAGGTTCAGACAGTGACATGAAGCAGAAAAACAAGCAGCCAAAATCAACTATGTGTTTTCAAGAAGCTAGTCACTAAATGTGAACATATGAATAGATAAAAGAAAAAAAAAAAAGGAAACAAAACTTACTTTGCTGAACTGCGACAAAGACTCATCCATATTGTAATAATCACCAGACCAAACAACTCTCTAAAAAGCCAAACAAAAAACAGGTCAGAAAATAATACAAGCAGGTGTTTAATTTTAAAAAACACAAATTTTGCCTCCAAAACAGTAGTGTCTGCTCCTTTGGAGAAGTTCAATATATTTCACTAGGATTATAATTATAAAGGTATTTACACGGAGTAACTTTGCTTCCCACCACAAATCTATAAACACACGTGACCCAGCTATACAGCTGCAGAAATTCCTGCTAAGCTTCTATTCCACAGCACATTTCCCTCATTAACACAGAGCAAAGCAGCATCCCGGTATTCCAGACAGTAAACAGCCGCAGTAGCTGCCAGTGCTTCACCTCAATACTGTGCAAGCACCTCCTTTAGGCAACAACCAAACGTCCAGGTGAGAAATCCTCCCTCCCCCTCAATCCCTGGCAGTTCAGAGGACTCGGCAGCCCGTGCCAGATAAACATGCATATGGTATCACCTCAAGAGTTTTTAAAACATTAATTCCCATTCCTACAGCTCCAGCAAGAGAACACAAAGTTGTTACGCTGTGCTAGGGCCCTGGTCTTTGAAAGCCAGAACAGCCCCCAGTTAAATCTAACTGCCACAATCAGACAAGCAATCACGACTGTTCGCTCTCCCTTTAGCTGTTTTGTCCAACAAATCGCTGGTTTGGAGCACTATAGTCCCTCCTCCTTGGTTTGATTCCCCTGGACCAACAGCACTCACTGCAGCAGCCCAGCAAATAAAGTTTAGCAAGGTGACCACCAGAAGGAGATGGCCTGGCACACTGAATTCATGCAGGGGAAAATAAAAATCACTGCTTACCTGCCTTCCTCTTGGTGCAAAATGTTTCCTTGAGCGTACGCAAACAAAGAGCAAGCCAAGGCAATGGTCCCAACAATACAACCAGCAGAATGAAGGTCACAGAGGCTCCTCCAAAAACCATTATCTGAGGGAAAAAACAGACCGCCAGCAACTGCAACGTAGCATGAAGTAAACCCTATAAATCAAAAAGCAACTGAGTCGCTAAAAAAGATGCCTCCAGCAAACACACATCTTAGGCAGGAAGATGGAATTAATACCAGCATCTTTATGACTAGGGAAATCTGCTAAAAAGTACTGTTGAAAATAAACACTAGTGGGTTTGGGGCTTGCTTTCCTAGGAATGCAACTTCCTGGCAGCAGCACCTCAATGAAAACGGTTTCCTATTCTCTCCAGCAAACAAAACGGGCTCCAGCACTCAACATGCATGGAAAAAAATCACAAGGCGGATAACAAATGAAAGCTCTCTTAAGCAGGAGGAATGGCCTTTCCGGAGCTCGCAGCCGTAACCAGACGCTCAGCAGGACCCCAGAGGACCACCGGAGTCCAGGGAAGCAAGCCCCAGCTCCCAGCCAGCCATCAGGGCTACCAAGCAACCAGCACACTGCAGGAAGCATCTTCCCCCGCACTCCCTGATAAGCCTCTGCCCGAGCTTTTGCCTGTGATGATGAGCAACGCTGATGACATCTCTGCCTGGGGACTAGTGTTTTTAAACAGAGAAATGCAGACAATGTGAAACATCTGAACGGGCCCACAGATTCTTGTGGTTTTCCATGTCCATTCCCAGGGGCTCGGGGGGGAGAGGCGAGCAAATGACACGGGCAGTTCTCGCTGATCTCAGCCATGTCAACAGTTAAAAGCTAAAAGCAGTCTTTTCTGGGCACTGACCCCTCCAGCCAAGCATTAAAGATGATGAGCTGCCAAAATTCAAGAGCTCAGCGCGACCCAACGGTGTAATCAATTCCCCATTTGGCTGAACTTACTGCAGCTCAGTTGAGGCAGAATCTGGGTCTTCCACAGACTTGAATGGCAAATATCCCTTGGTGAGTTTACATAAATGTCCAGTTATACAATAGTTGTGCTATTTTAATCTTTACTTTCCACAGATCTTGGCACAAGCCACAAAAACCTACTTGTGAGTTTAACATGCAGATTCTCTTGGCCAGCCAAATGCCATTATGTTGAAGCTACACCTATCACGCAAATAAACCTCCCCTGAGATGTTCAAAACCACAGGCAACCAACCCCCATGGGTTCTGGCTTTATGAATGCTGCCACTTTATATGCCTAAGGTAGCCAGAACGCCGAGAGACTGCAACGGTGTGATTTGTGACAACAGCATGCACTCTTGAAGATTTTCTTTTTTTGGCATAAGTGTGGTTTTGGTTTATGCAGAGTAAGTATTCATCCAGAAAAGATACAGTCACCTTATGAATATAAAATGTTATTTAAAAATTATTTCTACTTGATGAAAATACAAAAAATGAACTATTTTCTGGAGTCACGGACCAAATCTGATCTGACTGATTCTCTCAACACGTGATGTGGCATTAGCCCCCTTAGCGTACGCCCTTGGAAACGCAGCCACTGCACTGAAGCCTCTAAACGTCCCCATCACTGCCCACGTGCTTTGTGGGGTAGCTGCAGTACTTGATACCGAACAAGACCTTTAGCTCTTTCAAAGGACTGTGCAGAGCTCCGCTGCTCTTGTATGAGGTAGATAAGCAAAAACGCAGCTTTACAACAAGGAAACAAAGTGAATTAATGTGCTAACGTCAACACCAGAGCCAGCTTCAGAGCATGCTCCCTGGCTTGTGCCGGGGCTTTGAGCCCTGAAATCCACTCAGGCTTTGAGCGCTGGAATCGGGGTGCAAAGGTAAGACCATCCCAGTAGCAGGGCTCCTCCGTTCACCTGCAGCACGTCCAACTATGAGTACTAAACCAATGACCACCTTTCGTAGAAGCAGGTCCCACAGCTTTTTGCCCTCAAAAGGTAGTAGGACATGTTTCCATGTGGCCTGATCTTAATCTGTGATTCAATTAAAAAAAACCAAAACCTTTCAGGGGCAAAAGTTGAGCAGAGACTCTATTTTGCACACCAATATCATACCTGTAATTGAAGGGTTAATGCTGACAAGCAGCGTCAGGGCAGCTGGCACTAAGTAGACAACCTGTTAATGAAACATAAATCTACTCTGCAGCAAAACTTAGCAAGATAAGGAAGCAGAAGCGCCCATCCACACCAGCGCTTCTCCCCTTCACAGCAGTATGTCAGATGCGCAGAACAGCTGCCAACCCCTCTCCCTCTGGCATGCCCTGGCACTGCTAGTGCTCATCTTCACCACCACCACCCAAAATCCTGGATCATCAGCTGAGTGCCAGCCCTTGTTCCTCAGCTTCTGGGTTACCGAGTCCTCGCTGCCCAACCAGCCTGCTGCAGAGCCCCTTGCACTGCACCTTGATCCCCCAGGGAAAGCCCCTACGGGGGACACCCCCTCTCTGGGTCCCCCAAACCCTCCACCTGCGCTGGGTGGCTCCCCTGGGAGCAGGAGCACCCTTTGCTGCCGCAGCCCAGCCCTGCTGCTGTCAGCTGGGCTCACCCGCACAAGGGATGTCCCCCTGCACAAGGGACGTGCGGGGAACAGCCCCTGCCCACCCAGCAGCTCCTGTCACACACAGAGGCGTTCCCCCTTGCCCCTCAGCTCCAAGCCCTGCGCACGCCGGGCCAGGGCCACTGGGCTGTTCAGGTGCCCGAGAAAGGGCTGGCAAAGCAGACAGAGAAGAGGGTTTCTCTCTAGATTTCCCCTCGAGACCGAGGAAGCCGTGCCGAGTTGAGCGGCGACAGAAGGCAGCCAAGCTGGTGATTCAAGGCAAGCAGAGGTGGCGATGGAGACAGGAGGTCGCCCGGTCAGGGGGTCTCGGGCGCAGGGCAGGAGGAACGAGAGCGGTTTGGTGTGTTCCGCACAGGGAACCAATGCTTTGCAGGGGGCAGGTGCAAATCTGGGGTGAAATGAGGAAGATCCTGGAAGCACGGTCGGATTTCAGCCGTCGCTGCCGTAGAGAGATTGTTTTCCCGGCGCCCGCTTGCTCTTCAGCTAAAAGCAGGGAGCAGGTTTCCTCCGGCGGCCCCGGTTCGGACCAGGCGCCGGGCGGATGGG